CTTGCTGGGGCAGGATAGCTGACTGGAAAGTATAAAAAGTGGTATCACTTAGAGGTGTGTTTTTTTTATCCAGATGTCTTAAAGGAACAAGAGTGTCTTTTGACCTCAGGTGTGTTGACTTGCTAACTGATACGCGTAGTTCTGATGGAGATAGCCGACACGAGGATACAACATCAACTGAAGAGTTGCATCATGTTCAAGATGATAACGTGGTGGTTCTTGAAAAAGTGTCCTGAAGCTGCAAATCTAAAGAATTAGATAGTTGGAAGAAGAATACTGCGTATACAGAAGTCATTGATCAGAGGCAGAATTATTTCCACAAGGTGGATGTGCACAATCAAAACCATCATCGTATGGAATATATTCCTTAGGCCAGATTAGTTGTTCGTGGGTTCGAGATGGATTATAACGATCATCCAAGAGATTCCCCTACATGTTTTTCCGAGTCCTCCGAGATTAAGTTTACCTGTATTTGCTCACAACAAGTGGGAAGTTCATTCCACAAACATTAAAACTGCCCTTTAACAAGGAAGTAAACTGTCTTCATTGAGGGTGTACTTGCAATTCATGTTGATGACGTCATCTGGGTTGGATCATCGACGTATGCAAACTATATCATAAATCAGCATACTTTTTGGGACGGGAAGAAAGCAATAACTTCTCTTATCGGGGCATTGAACTTCTCAGTGAACAGAATAAACTTTTGATGAAGCAAGAAAATCATGTTGAAAGAGCATATCAGTTGAGTAAAGGAACTTAATGATTGTGGATAAAATTTTGGACATATACTTTGGGTTGGTAGACAGACATGTCTGATGCCAGAAGCGCAGCAGGATCGCCCGAGTTGAGTGAGTGAGTGAGTGAGTGAGTGAGTGAGTGAGTTGTGTTTTACGCCGCTTTTAGCAATATTCCAGCAATATCACGACAACAGAAATGGGCTTCACATATTGTACCCATGTGGGGATTCAAACCCGGGTCTTCGGCGTGACGCTTTAACCACTAGGCTACCCCACCGCCCTCGCATCACTTGAAGGTTACTTTGAAAGATATTCAGGATAATAAGATTGTCGGGAAATAATAAAAGTGACAAAACCCTTTCCATATGCAATAAGAAATCTTGAAAAAATCGAAAGTTGAAGTCTGAAAAAAACTAAACTTCGATTTCTATTTCTGGGTGATGAAAACACCCTGGAACTTGTTGAGTTCGGTTCTTTCTCACCCATGTGTTTGCAATCGAGGCATGCCCAGCGTGTAGTAAGGAGTACCTTAGCAGGATAAACATTGGCCCAAGCAGATGACATTGACAGTTGTAAATTTCTTACAACACGGATCACGTGTGTTACAGACTGTCATCCGCTTTTCGATGCTGTGAAATACACAAAGTTTTGTGAATGATACAAGTTGGTTGGTTGGTTGGTTTGTTGTTTAACGCCGCACTCAGCAATATTCCAGCTATATGACAGCGGTCTGTAAATAATCGAGTCTGGACCAGAAGTTAGGTGTATGAACGGATGGATGACCTGTGCATTGATTTAATACTTTACAGTATTCCCAGTGACGGGATTACAATACACAATACTTCTGATAAATAAAATGGATACTATAGTGGTTACTTCATGTGATAATCAGATTAACAATAATGTACATACGAGTGATTTGAAAAGAAACAGGTGTAACACGAACTAGTGTTACCGGTCATTCGCGTCGTTCCGTCTCATCCCAGTTATGTTCTATGGCGGAGAGGTCTGGAGAATCAGAGATACAGTCAGCCATAGCAGCACACCAATGTTATGCTGTCTCTGAAAGTGTTACAACACGTGCCAAATGTGGGTGGGCATTATCCTGCTGCACAATAGGGTAGAACATAATTTCGAACGATGTCCTACCGGTAGCGTACGCCATTCAAATTGTCATTAAGAACGATGAGTTGTGGCCACCCCATACCATTACACTTCCACCCCAGAACTGACGACATTGAGTAACGGAAGCGTCGCTAAACCGTTCTCCCGGACGCCTGTTAAACCCTTGCACGACCACCAGAGCTGTGCAGATGAATGCTGGACTTGTCTGTAAACAGTATACTGTCCCAGTCTTGTCTTCTGAACCTCAGATGCTGTCTATACCTAACTGGGTGTGCCTGGTGGCGACGTGGAAGCCGGAGATTGCGCTTTCTCAACCAGTTGTGTACGGTTCTGCCACTAATTGGTCTCAACCCAGGAATTGTCAGAGATGTTACCAGTTGGGATTGATTCCGTAGATGCACCAACAGTGTTTAGATGAACATAAAAATGTCTGGCAACTTCGTTTTGCGCCATTCCAGTTTGCAGAATACCCACTGCATATAGACGTAGATTTGCACCAAGCCATGTCATTGCCTAAACGTTATTTGAGGTTAAAGAAAAGTACTTTTCTCTGAAGGCAAAATCTTGATGACTGCTCGGTACACGATCTTTTCCGTTTCCGCGTCCATTTGAACTCTATCACGTTCGACCCGTGAAGATCCGAGGTAGAATAGGTCTTTAGCAACCCATGCTTGCGGTAAAAGGCGACTATGCTTGTCGTAAGAGGCGACTGGTCAGGCTCGCTGACTAGGTTGATGCATGTCATCGATCCCAATTGCGTGGATCGATGCTCTGAATTAATCACTGGATTGTCTGGTCCTCGATTTTTACGGGTTTTATGGTGCCCCTTTTAAAAATGCAATGGCTTACATACATGGGCAAGCAACGTCGCAAATCAAAGAATTCACCTTCGACTGACCTTCACTGACCTTAGATGGCGGCACCCACGTGAAGCACTTCTCGGCTAACAATCTTGCAACTATTTAAAACATCTCCAAATCAGAACTCGGTCCTGGACTAGCTTAGGATCGGGAACCCCAGGTAAGAAACTTTTGATCCATCCGTGTACACCAAAGAGAAAGAATGTTTGGGGGCGTACCGGGACGTTTGCGACTTCTTCACAATGTGGGTAGATCGTAGTGAAGTGCAGGATGTGCAGTGCATACACGAAAATAGCTACTTCGTCAAGTACAATTTCTCAGTACTAGTTTATACCTAGTGAATCTAACATTCTCGCAGACTCTTTATCTGGATTATATATGCCAGTGCAGTTTGCGAGATTTTCCAGTGCTTTGGCAACGACTCACCATTTGTTTGGTTACCTCACGTCTCACTGTACTATTTTTTCCTCTTCCTATCTAGACAGATACAAGCATAGTAACGCTAGTAGCGGATTTTATTGAAAAAATAAATTTTACCTGAAAATAATTAAAAATAATAATTATGTTTCATATTGTTTGTAAACAAATATTGTCTGCCACAAAAAAGACATTGTTGCAATGTATTTTTTAGACAAATTTATATTCTTTAAAAAAAGAAACTATACATCAGGATTGCAACTGGGTTAATTTTTCATAGGTTAGTTTTCATAAATATTATAAATAGTGGAATGTATAGGTAAATGATTGAATAACAGCCCGGGGTATGTTCTGCCACTCCTGCTCTAGCGCCACAAACAGTTCCTGAAGTGTATGTGGCGGTGGTCCATCAGCACGTCTCAGCAGAAAACGGGACTCGTCTGTGAACAGAACACGTCTCCATCTTGCTTGATGCCATGCGACTCTGACGACACCACTGCAGACGTTCACGAGGTGATGCGGCGTCAGGATGTTACGCCGCACGGGCCTCCTGGCTAGAATACCGGCTGCTCTCAGACAATTTCGAACAGTCTGATCCGATATTCCACGCAGTCCCGGTACGTGTGAGGCTGTTAACGTCGCCATGATGAAACGCTCCCACAGGTGTCGTACCCGGATGTAGCAATCTTGGCCAGGCGTTATAACGCGAGGTCGTCCTGAACTTGGCATGTCACGAACGTTGTTGGTGGTGTTGTAACACAAGTTAGAGATGGTCAATCTGGTCACACCACTCACCTGTGCCACATGCTGCGGTGTTTCACCCGCTTGCATTTGGCCGATGGCGTTGTTGTTTTGTGCTTCTGATAGACGTAACATCTTAACGGCTCGATTTCTGATTTTCTGATGTGTGTGTTATCAGTCATTGTCCTAGCCTTTTAAACCTTGCTGACTGGGGAATTGTCACGATAGTTCAGAAAATTGCATTCTGCACATTTCTGGCATTGCAGCTGCATTTGGGCGAATTGCTTCGTCACGATGCCACATTACGTTTCGGGCAATCTGCATGTTAACTCGAAATTTTAATAAAAATTTAATGATTATTTAAGAAATAAAATTAAATATCTATGAAAAATGATCGGGTCGGGAGTCATCAAATTTATGCATGTATAGTTTCTCTTTTTTGAAGAGTATATTTTAGCTCTTTTAATAAAAATAATAATCTGGTTTTGCAACTGTAGCTGAAAAAATAACTGGTCTAAATTTTTTTCTCCAAAAAACAGAAGTCAGACATGATAATACAAACCTTTAGCCTCAAAACGTCAATCCATGGAATGGCACCATTCCACGTCATCTTTTCAAACCAACATGGCGGGAGAGAATGAGTATTTGAAAATGTGTGAAAAGACAGGCTTTTGCAGCTATAATTTTGACATTAAGACAAAAATCATGTGACGAAAATAAGCAATCCAATTGGTAGTTCACATGCAGATAAGCTGCAAAATTCTGACACACCGTCAACGAAAATTGGTCCTTTTGTGAGCGTGTCCACTCGATGAAGATACCCTGCTCTTTGCTGTGTACATCCCAGGTAGGTATGCGTTACTAAGCACTCTCAACGGATTCTTTCCATCAACAGTTCAACAAGGTGTTCCAACAGATAATCCTATCTACTGGTGACTACAACACTCAGTCTGCGATTTTGTGTTGCTAAGTGAATGTGTCTTCAAGTCCACTTTATGACCTCTTTGTCATAATTCAGTAGTAGTCTGATCACTGAATAAGTATTATCTTATCACATTTGCTTATTCATTAAAATATCTTTGTATCTATGTTTTCTTGACAGCATATAACTATAACTCTCAATGTTTAAAATGGCTTTAATGTTTACACAATGTTTCACAAACAGAAACTTAACCCATACATCCATAACTATATCACACACAAGAAATATAACATCACAGGTTAAAAGGTTGCTTAAAGTTCAAATAAAACACAACATATTTGTACTGATATAACAGTATAACATATACCATATGTGAAATAGTTTAACATCATAAAATCAGATACAATAAGCTTGTATGTTTGGAAATATACAACATGTATTTTGCTAAAGTTACCAGTACATTTTTCTCAGAATTAAACTGTTACCATGGTTACTTCAACAATACAAAGAAAAGTAACAAGCAAAAAATAAATCAATTATGTTTCTGTCTTTCCATATTGGCAATTCCAGAAGAATTTCATGGATAGGGTCATGAAGGAATCATAAATGAGAAATAACTCCTGACACCTTTACACAACATGGCTTCTGATGGCCATATATTTACTTTGAATTGTTAACTGACCGTATAGTGAAAGCTGTTTGCTTTTGATAAGTCTGCTTATAACTTTCCAAATGCTTAGTAATAAGAGTCATGGTGGTGACCTTCTTTGTGGGGAAGCTGCAAGAAAATGTCTTCACATGTTCCAAAGACTCTTTCTGAAGTCGGGAAACACGTTAAGGATCTTGTGACACTTGCTGTACTTGTTCACATCCCCAATGATATGCTCAGAGTAGTGGGACTTCACCTTGTAGCTTTTGAAGAACTTGCCACAGAGGATGCACCTGACTTGGACGGAATAGTCCTTAGGAGTGTTGTTGAACAGTTGGTCTCAGGAGTGTTTGTTCATGTGTTTCTCCAGGACTTCGAAAGAAGCGCATGTGTAGCTGCATAGTGGACAGGGAAATATCTTCGGTCCTGAAAACAATCAGAGAAGATTACTACATATTTTTTCAATTTGTAACACGTATCATGACAGATATAAGACAGGGATTACTTTAGGTGTTCAATCTAAGTCCCTTTGGCAGACAAATTTATCATGTTCTTTTTTTATCAATGTATTTTCAGCATTACATTCAATGCAATAATCCAAAAGTAAGTCTTATAATTTCTCTATTAACCATATATACATATATCATTGGTCACATCATCAAGGCTATACATTAGATATGACAGTATCTGTCAGAAAGCCTTTTGAGCCCATATGTCTATTTATTTTGTTTTGTTGCTTAGTATAACTTTTGTTATGCACAATTTCGTTTCCTTGACCCTTCTCCAAATTCAATGTGTACCGAAACGGCAGCCTCCAGCCAGGAGTGATGACCATGTGCATGACCAACAGAAAATACTGTCTCTTGTGTTTAATCTAGCCCTGGCATTCTATATAATTACAAAACGCATTTCTCTCACCCTTGGATCCAAGCACAGTGTTTTCAGTATCATCCAGTGTACCAAACCACAATGCTATTATTAAATATTAGTGGATAAATACAGTAGTAGTTCTTGTGCATCACTGACTATCATGGGAAATAATAAAAAACAGAACAATTTTGCAACAGAACAATAAACTTCATGTCCATGAAACACGAATTCACCTGTCAACACATATCTTCTATGAATGTGATCTCAGGCTGAAAGTGGTAAATTGTCAGTTCACATGCAGTGTCAGGTATGACCACCATGAGCAGTGACAGAAGCATGACAACAATACCTAATTGATGACCATGATGGTTGAGGAAGGCTTGTGGGATGCCCTTCCTTACCTTGGCCAAGACCTATGGCAGCTTAAGCAAAGTCACCTGTTGGTCTGGAAGTTGGGGTAAACAATATTCCATTTCATCTCACACATGTTCGATGGCGACAGGTCTGGTGAAACAGCAGTGCAAAGAAGAATGGTGATGTTTGGTTGTCCAATGAATGAGGTCTGTGATCACTCGTGCAATGTGATTGTGTGTGTTGTCCTGCTGTAAAGTGATGTGATGTCCCAGGCAAGATGTGAGGACAGATGTGCACCAATACGCTCTCATCACCAAATGCAGAACATTGAAGAACACACACATCAGCGTAACATTCCATCTGATGTCGATAAACAAGCTGATGGCCATCACTGCTGTCAGATGAAACCTGGACTAATCTGTCAAGGGGACTAACCTCTAGTCCTGTAACCTGAACCTTAGATTTTGTCTTGACCATGCCAGGCATTCTGTTCAATGATGTGGCAGCAAAACTGGACATACAGAAAGGGCGTCATGGTCAGACGTTATGCTCTTGTAATCGATTCCTCACAGCCCCTGCACTAATTGGAGGTAATTAAGAGATGCTGTCAAAGTTGCAGTTTGAAACTGATTCCACAGGTGACCATAACGTTACTCATGGACGTTCAGACCTTAGGTGGCTCCTGGCGTAGCCAGTCTGTTGGTCAAGGCCCTGAGTGACTGTATGGTCTTATGATGAACGCCAATATTCCGAGCAACAATGTATTGTGCAATTGGGTCTACAAGCATTCCAGCTTTTTCAGATAGGTGTGGCACAACAATTACGAGGTTTGGCCATCAATAAAGATGCTTTTCACAGTTAAAACAATGCAACTGTGTGATGAATTCCTTACATTTTGCATTATATGCATGCGATGACAGGGATGCGTGTGCAATTTCAGGGTCATTATGGATAATCATCAGTATATCATGATCATGACAAAGTATTTGTACAGGTGATTTTCATGCATGATTCTGAAAAAATCCATGGCAATTCTTTTTAATGTAATGACTTTTTATGGTGCACAGGAATATATACTGAACCAAATTAAAACCTTCACAATCCTAAAATTGTAACATTTTGACCATTGTGGGCCCTTATTGTGTATTAAAACAGTAACGGCCACATATTGCCTTCAGATAACACCCGTTTTTGTGCAGGTGAATCGATCAAAATCATGTGCACAGCACTATAGTGGCAAAAGTGGTTTTTCATGTGCAACTGGTCACGTGGCCATAATACCGCACGTGTTTTCAGCCATACTTGTTAGCAGTCATTAACAAAAAAAGAAAAACACAAGAAAACAAAAGTCTTTATGGCCATTTGTCATGCCACGCCTTTCAAATGTGCAACGTGAACGTGCCATCGGCATGTTGCAGACGGGAACGTCCGTAGCTGAAGTGGCAAGGACGATGGGTTGTAGTCGACGGACTGTTTATGATTTACAGATGCGTCTTCAGCAAACGGGTACCACCGCTGATCGCCCTCGGCCAGGTCGACCACGTGTGACTTCACATGCAGAGGATCGTCAGATTGTCTTACATCACCTCCGTAACCGATTTTTTACGGCTACATCAACCAGAAATGAACTGTTTAGGGGAAGACTGAGTGCACAAACTGTTCGAAACCGTCTGAGAACTGCTCACCTTCAAGCACGACGGCCATACTGCGGGCAGATTCTGATTCAATTACACAGACGTCAACATCATTTGTGGGCACAGCGACACTTACGATGGACTCAGAGGAATTGGAATCAAGTCGTCTTCAGTGATGAATCCCGATTTAATCTTCAATTTGCTGATGGTAGGGCATGAGTGTGGAGGCGGCATCATGAAAGTTACGCCCAGTGTTGTGTACAGGAAGTTGACAGATTTTGAGGCGGAAGTGTTATGGTGTGGGGTGCTTTCTGTGGCAATGCACGTTCCAGGCTTCTTGTCATCCGTTGCAACCTCAACGCTGCTGCTTACTGCGACCAGGTACTGGCACCAGAACTTCCGCCTTTTATGGCAGCACAAGGACCAGGTTTGATCTTCCAACACGACAATGCCAGACCCCACACAGCAATTTTGACAAGGAATTTCCTTCAGAATGCGGGAGTCAACGTCATGGACTGGCCGTCAAGGTCTCCCGACCTCAATCCCATCAAACACGTCTGGGATGCTCTTGGCAGAAGTCTGCGCACTCTCCAGAACCAACCACAGAAATTGCAAGATCTTGGCACCATTTTGCAGCAACAATGGCGTCGTCTTCCCAATCATGTGTTCACAAGCATCACAAGGTCCATGTGGAGGCGTTGTGTGGCAGTTGTCAACGCACATGGTGGCCATACACGCGACTGAACTTGTGTGCCATCAGATTCTCGTGCTTGGGACTTATGATTTAAACTGTTGATGTTATTACCGAATACCATAGGTGCTTGGAACAAATTATGGTTACCACCGTTAATTAAAATCCTTCTTTGGACATTAATGATTAAAAATTACCTTCTCTGATACATTTGTCCGTTGTATATCATATATGGGATTACTTTTAAAAATGTGAAGTTTTTAATTTGACTCAGTATATTTGCACTAATATGTACACCCTGGACCCATTCACCATTACAGTTTCATTTCAGATGTGATGTCACCATCCCACTCACTACCAACTTCGCACAAAATTCTCTCACTCCCGAGAGTCATCTGATCAGGCTGACTGACATCTATATTTGTGTCTTCCAAATAATGTTCTAACCGAGCTATTGTATTGAATAGGTCAAGGATATTTGTCACAAAAGAATTGAGATATGATATACAATCAAGTCTCCACACTTACCATCGTGTTCCAGCAGATACAGTATCATTTTGGAGAAGGATATGTATGTCTTCCCACAGAACGTGCAGGTGTGGGTGTCCCATGACAGAGTCTGACACTTCTGATTCCGAGTCCGACTACGCTGCTGCTCATCAGTCTCAGTATTAACTTCTGCACCACCTGCAACATCCACATTTTTATTCTCTTGAGCATCTACTCCTTCATTTTCTATGTATTGTTACTCATCTTCATTATCATCAGCCACATTACCTTCATCATCATCTGTCCGACACTTCACCAGTTTATCCTGCTCATCACCAGTATCAGTATCACTGCCTGCATCGTCAACCCATTCACCTGCCACATCATCTGTCCGACACTTCATCAGACTAACCTGCTCATCACCAGTATCAGTATCACTGCCTGCATCATCAACCATGTCACCTGCCACATCATCTGTCCAACACTTCATCAGATTATCCTGCTCATCACCAGTATCAGTATCACTGCCTGCATCATCAACCCCATCACCTGCCACAACATCTGTCCAACACTTCATCAGATTATCCTGCTCATCACCAGTATCAGTATCACTGCCTGCATCATCAACCATGTCACCTGCCACAACATCTGTCCGACGCTTCATCAGATTATTCTGCTGATCACCAGTCTCAGTATCACTGCCTGCATCCTCAAACCCATCACCTGCCACATCATCTGATTCATCCAAATCTTCCATCTCTTGAGCATCTACTTCATTTTCTACTTCAGTGTTTTGTTCCTCATCCTCAATAACAGAGCCTGGTGGACTGCATGAAATCTCAAAACCTTCAAAGGTGACTGTGACATCTGGTTTCTCTCCCATATTGTCCACTTCTGCTCCTGTACAGATCCCACTGTGAATCTGATAAAGGCGTTCATTGGAAAAAGCTTTGTTGCACTTGGAGCATTGATGGGTTTTCCTATGGTATTGATGGGTTTTCCTATGGCACTGATGGGTTTTCATATGTTCATGCAGCAATTCTTTGGACTTCCATTGCAACTGGCAGACAACACAAGAATAGGAAACCAACGGTTTATAAGATGGCTCTTTGTCGGAAGGTATTGGATGCAGAGCCAGTTTGTGTCTGTTGAGATCTGATGCTAACTTGTACCATTTGTCACAAATATCACACCAGTGCAGCTGATCCATGTGGATCTTCATGTGGTAGCGATGGGAATCAGAATTAACGAAACGTCTGTTACAGACCTTACATTTATAAGGCCTGTGCTTCTTTGGAATCATCTGATGCGACAAAAGTTTTGGACAGAGTGCAGCAGTCACAGCTTCTGGCTGAATATCATCTTTCTGTTTAGATTTGTCAGTCATCTGTTTCTTCCCTGCATAGAGAACATGTTTGGCTACATCGGGCAGCACTGATGTGTCAAGCTTCCTGTAGGTTTTTGTCAATGTTTTTCGCAGATCTACATGCTTCATCGCAGGTGCCTTGGGAAAGACAAGAACCTGTTTGGAGTTCAAGCAGTAGTAATTATCTGATATCCTTGGCTTACTCAAAATCATGGCAATATCCTGTCTGCTCTTCCTGTCCATGGTAATATCCTCTCGTCTGTCCCCTTCCTTGGCAATATTCTTTTGGAGGTTTTCCACCATGGCAATATCCTCTTGTCTATTCCCCTCATTGGCAATGTATTCTCGGCTATTCCCCTCCATGACAACATCTTCTCGGCTCTCCACCTCCATGGCAACATCCTCTCGGCTTTTCATCTTCAAGGCAATATCTACACGGCTCTTCCCCTCCACGGCAACATCCTCACGGCTATTCCCCTCCATGACAATGTCCTCTTGCCGCTTCCACTCTGTGACAATGTCCACACAGATTTTGGACTGCATGGAAGGATATGTCATGATATGAGAATTTTGGGAAGGGGTCTTGTCACAGAAAGGGTAGAAATTTTCTGTTATTCTTTTTCTTACATGGTATCTCAGCCCAGTTGATGTCGTGAACCTACTACCACAGATTTCGCATTTATAACGTTTTTTACCAGTGTGTGTCTGAGCGTGTGATTTTAAGTCGGCTTCATACATGAAACCCTGGCCACAATCTATACACTCAAATGGAGCCTCTTTGGGATAAAGTTCCTCTTCAATGGTAGAGCTTTTCATCTCACCTCCCAAGGCCTCACAGATCTCATTGTCTGCCCTTAATGCAACATTTTCCAGAAATTGTCCAGAACTGATATTCTTCTTCATCCATTCAGCAGTCTCAGCATGCATGACAGCACTCTCTGACTGTTCATAATGCTGCTCTGCATCTGTTTGAATCTGCTTCGCATATGGGTCACCTGGTACAGTTTTTACCTTAAACAATGTTACAATAGAGTAACAAGGCTCCAAAGACAACCTACCCTTTTCATGTTTTTTTACCACGGTCACCTGAACAATCTTTTCTTCACTTTCTACCTGAACTGGATCCTTCTCTGCCTTTTCTGGCTTCTGTACATTAGTCAGGAGGTACTTAAGCCCATTCGAAGCTGTGACTTCACATCCCAGAATAACATTGCTGCTGTTTTGTTTTTCAGCTTCAGTTATATCATCAGCTCTTAATATCAATGGAACTGAATTATTTTCCTGTGAATTATTCTCTAATTTTTCAGTTGTTTCTGTTGAATTTTCAGAAAGACCTACATCATTAGCAGCCTCAAATATGGATGGGTCAATGTCAGAAGAGCCATCAGCTAAGGAGGTCACGCTGACAATCTTCAGAAAACCAGGTTCAAAAGATTCACTTAGCTTCTCCTTCTCTTTGGAAGCAAGTGACGCTGAATCCTTGAGATGAGATTTATTATGATGTTGGAATCCAGTAGAGGTTGAGAAACATTTACCACACTCTTCACATTTAAATGGCTTCTCACCATTATGTATGCGGACATGAGCCTGTAAATAGCATGCTTTTCCAAAACACTTCCCACAGTATTTGCAGAAATGAGGTTTCTCTACAGAATGTGATAGCATGTGAGTGCTCAACTCCTCTGAAGTGCAGCATTCATATCTACACTTATTACAAGCATATGACTTCTTCAAACTGCCCTCATCAGCGTAACACTGGAACATATTTAGGGAATGATCAATATCTTCAGCACTATGAGCTCTCAAATGACTCTCTAGAGTGTACATGTACTGAAATTTCTTTCCACAAATCATGCATTCTTTTTCCTCATTGCAAGATAGAGTTATCTGTTTCCCTAGAGATTTGGCTGTGGAGTCTTCCTCATCTTGAGGGGATGTACTGTCAGAGTTAATCAGCAGATTCATGTACCCTGCTGATGGGTGAACATCAATCAATGTATCGCCATCCCAGTTCTTCAATCTGTTTCCTTCTTCTGGACTCTTTCCTCCAACTCTGATGCTACAGTTCCCTCCACTGAATGTTCTTTCATGGTATCGAAGTCCCGTTGAAGTTGTAAATCGCTTACCACAAATTCCACACTTGTAAGGCTTCTCTCCAGTGTGTGTCCTAAATTTCTCTTTTTATTCTAAGTGGCTCACTCTTGCTGTTCTCTGGAGTGGGATCGTCAAGGTCAGGGTTGATAGAGATCTCTTTTTCTGTATTGGCCTCTTTGTCATCAGCAGCATCTGATAGATCCAGCACTGCATCTGATGCCATGGTATATATGTTTTACTATGTTATAGTAAGATTCTACTGGAAGGACTAGATCAGACCAGCTGGTATATACAGGGCCAATCCAGATCATCAATCAGTCTGAAAAAAATAAACGTTTGGAAGAGTAAGTAGAGTAAGGAAGTGATTGAGGTTTACGCATAGAGGTTCCTGGAGGACAATGTTGGGGTAATCATGACCACTTCCCTGTCAAAAGGGGGTCACACATGTATTGTTGGGAGTTGTAACTGTCTAAAGAATCAAATGATACCTTGAACTCAAACAGAATTATTTTGTGCTACAGGTGGCACCCAAGTTCGGTTTTATGTGTTTTTATTAAATTAATGTCTACAACAGTGTTTATTTCAAAATATAATATTCCAACAATACTGTGCAAATAATTAATAAAGACAGACAAAAAAGTCAACATTGTGACACCACTAATAACAAATGAGAAAACTTATTGCACATTTCCATACAAAAAACTCCAAATATTCCAGTTTCTTCCGTCTGAATCTTCCTAATGTTGCTATTAATATAACCCTATCATTGATCATTGGACAATTAAGTAATTTACATTTATACAGGGCTAGAAAAATGTCTTAAAACCAACTTGTCCTTCAGGGCAAGTAGATATTATTTTGTATTTGTCCTGCAATATTTTCATTTGCCCTATTCAATTTTATACCATTTTATGATCTCAGTTATTATTACCATTTTCTGTAATTAACCTTTGAAGTCTCTTGAGCATATTCATGACAGACAGTACACAATAATTCACAATCACTGTCATCTACATTCTTCTCTACAAATTCAAGGTCACCCAACCATGAACATTTTGTTTTCTTTTTTTACAGTCATGCTGGTGGTTTTTTTTAAATAAATTCTTTTTGGTAATCAAATAATTCATAAATCTATTTATGATAAATGTGACATGTATTTAGTTAGTATCACTACTCAGAAATGTAAACATATTTTAGGTTCAAAGTTAACCTGTATATTATATTTAAAACAATTTGTGATGAATTGATAGGATTGAAATATATGTACTCGCCCTGTAGGATGAGTGTTTCTTCACTTCTTTCTCGCCCTGCACATGATGCCACTCATCAATACGAGCGTACAAGTGGATTTTTCAAGCCCTGTATATCACATATTTACTGTGTTTAATACTCATCAAATTATATAGACATGAGTAAATGGAAACAAATGGCCCAAAAGACATTTTCAATATGGCTGCTATTTGCGCTGGTTTTATTGTGCTTGCCCACTGTCACTGAATTACCATGCCTCAGTATAACATGAATACCCCACTAAGACACAGTACACTGATTCCGAGTAGACCAGTCCTTGTTTTATCCCCTTAATGAAGAACGACAGACAGGTTGACAACAAGTACCATCTAATACCATCTTTTGGTAAGCACAGCCAAGGATCGAACCCACAACCTTCTGCTCTCTGGGCAGACACTCTATCCACTAAACCACGGAGGTGGTCAAGGAAATGTATTGAAAATATCATTGGGTGCAACAGGAGCAAGTGAAAATTTTACATATACTCACACGCAAAAGAAACGCAAGTCGAGTATGCAGTATATATGTTATTTATTTTCAACAGTAAAGACAAGAAATACTACTAGGGCAAGATTGACAAGAATTTGACTGAAGACAGTTTAATGGATTAAAAGGAAGATGACATAATTGTTTTTTTCAAATGTTAAGGGCTTACACAGTTTCGGGTCAATACCCAAAATGTCAGTCAATACCTGGTGTGACCACCATTAGCATTGATCAGTGCCGCACATATCCTGTACATTGAGTGGATCAGACGATTTGTGAAGGCCCTAGGGATCCTCCTGCACACATCCAGAGCAGCTGTGCGTAGTTCATCGGCAGTTGTAGGGACTGGGCACACATTGTGCAGACGCCTTTGAACCTCATCCCATAAGTGTTCGATGGGGTTCAGATCAGGGCTGAGGGCTGGCCACGGTAGAACACGGATGTTGTATTGTTGCAGAAAGGCCATGGTAGCTCTGGCAACATGGGGACGAGCGTTGTCCTGCTGGAAAATGTGTTGTTGATGTTGTGCAAAAAATGGAACAACGTGGGGTCTGATCACTTGGTCGATATACCGCTGAGCAGTGTCGCCGTGTCCCCGACCTGGACCAACATTCAGAAAGCAAATGGGTCCAAGTATCGCATTAAATCCAATCCCTGCCCTATCATGACGCTAGGTCCACCCCATGGATCCCTTTCCACAATGTTTCTGTCAACGAATCACCTTGACGCTGCCAAATTCTGACTCTTCTGTCTGCATGGGAGACACAAAAGCGACTTTCATCACGGAAGATGACACGCCTCCACTCACGATGACGCCAATTGTGATGACCCTGTGCCCACTGAAGTCATGCTTGTCAATGCCATGGTTGGAGAACAGGACGACGTGCTGGTCGGCGACATCTGAGGTTGTTGGAATGGAGACGTCGGTTTCACAGTGTCCCAGCTAATGTGTCGATTATATGTTCCTATGGTCTGTCGAGCACTTTCACTTGCAGTTAGGAACGGATGTCGCTGGTGTTGACGGGTAATCAGCCGATCTTGTCGAGGTGTGGTGACCCTAGCACGCCCGCTTGAGGAAGGTCATCTGTGGTCTGTGTAGCATTGTATCGATGCAGGAGACGGTAAATTGTGGTTATGTTAACGTTGAAATGACGGGCAACATCTTGAACAGACTCTCCAGCTTCCAAATGTCCGATAGCCTGGTTTCTCTGAATTTGAGTTAGGCGTTTGCTTGACCAAGGAGTGGTAGGTCAAAGAATCGGCCACAGTTTTATACCCACTACAGTTCCTGACAGTTCGTGCATTTTCGATTTCACAAGAAATGGGTGCATGTTACCCACATATTCATTTAAATGGTGTGTTTTAGTGATGTTGCGATGTTGCGTTTTTACTCGGGGCTTCCAAAATGCAACCAAAAATATTGATAACATCATCAGGCTTCACTACATGCTAAAAGTCGTATCAATTTATGGTGCCGTGTTTGTTACTTATTTGCTTAAAACCACTTGCCTTTCTTTTGCATGTGAGTATATATTCAATATGGCTTTGGCTACAGTGTTCATCTTGATTAAATTTGGATCAGAATTTTGTGTGCAACATGATCGCATTTGGGCCTCTCAATATTTATGCATACCTTCAAAATGAGGCTGACTCGGCATAGACACCTAGAAGTACTGTATAAAAATAGTACAATCAACCGAGAGACAGTGTTAATTCACTTCAGTGATGAGGAAAAGGAGAAAACTATTTGCAAAATCTTACTGCAGCCTGGCAAGTGTTTGAGGTATTATTTAATACATATGCCATGTATAAAAACAATATAATTTTGTGATTTCTTTAATCAGCAGTACCATGATACACATGTTGTCCCATCAACGTTACCTATTTAGCATGGTTAGCTTCACACATGATACTAAGGTTGATGATAAAAGGAAAATGCCCTTCAAAGTTACCATACATGATCATGTAATGTTTATTTGTTGCTTTATTAAGTCACCATGCTGGTTACTAAGGCATGTCAACTACATCTATTGTGTGAATATAAATATGATTTATGGGCACACAATATTTATGTTTCAGTCAAAAGAGATTAATTTCCACCATGGCTATAGAAAACAATTGATATTGTCCATTTTTTCCAGAAAAGATAAAACTTCAATGCCAGAGAATAAACAGTCTTGATTATCCAACAAAACAGATTCCATAACAATAATGTTTCACCGGTGGCGTACTGCTGTGCTATGTGACAATGTCAACAACACTTAATTTTTTATGCAAAATGTGTGACTGGCATATGCTACAAGTAGGGCACTGAATCCATATTAAAAACCATTTGAACTTTACAACTATATACATTGTATTAACTTTTAACATTTTTTCAATTTTTTTTGACAAATTATTGTCATACATTTTTTTTAAACCAAAATCTTAAAATATCATTTCTGATATGTTGTGGTTGATTTTTCAAAATATTTTTTTTCTTACTTTTTGGTAAGTTTGCATTGAATACCTATTACTGGTAACATATTCGGAATTCTACTTGTGCTGTCTTTGTACTTGACTGGACAAATCATTGAAGTCTGGCATCATCATACTTTGTGGTTGGTAGAATGATGTCCTGTTTTTGTCCAATTCGGACTTCCATACACAATTTTTCCCTGTACCACGATACGATGGAGTTCTCTCCCTTGTCAAACTGAGCGAGAGGCCCTGCTTTTACTCGGCGTGACTAATGTAAATGATGAACTTTTATCGGTAAAATATGCATAGATCTAGTTAGATAAAATAAATTACATCTGATATAGAGAACACGAATAATCATAAAGGTTAGTGAGTGCATTTTGTTCCGTTTAACGTACATGACAAGTACGGCGAAACCCCAAGGTTGCAGGCTATACATTGCCAATCTTGTAAAAAACAATCATTCAGCCTATGTTTGAATACATTTACAAATGCTACTTCATCTCCCACCTTTGTGGGAACCACACTTTTTCCAAATACATTTAACATGTGTTGCCCAGTTGGGTCGGAGTCTATTGCATGTTTCCTTTACAAATAATTTATGAAAACTTCTGGAAAAATTGAGGAGTAAAGAGGATAATATCTGATCCGGGTACGAATACCTGCCCCCAGCCTGACCTATTGTAAAATCAAAATGACTGTTCATTGCAAAACGTGTAAAAAGATGGTGTGGAGAAAATCCTCAGGCTTTACCTTGTGACTCGAACTGAGGAAACTGATAGGCTACTGGTACATGCTCTGTCAGTGGATATATAACACTCCCAATGAGTGTGGGGGGCACCCATGGTCTCAAACAATAAGAAGATCTCTTTGGAGATAGAGACCATCTGCAAATAACATGTGACACTGGATCAGTGCAATGCCTTAACAACATATAAACTAAATCACTACAGATTTGTTTCTCCTAAATGTGTTTCCACTGCAATTAGGCCTTATACTCGGACCCCATGGTACCGCGGCATTCATCGTATCGCGGCATTTGTGATTTCCGGTAATTCACGCAGGACACGCCTCTTAGCAGCTGTCTATTAATGCTAATCAGTAACCAGGAAGTGCTCACTTCAGAAACAATTTCAATTTCCTCGGAATGTTCCGTCTGCTGTAAGTTAGGAGTTATTAATGCGTTGATACATATTTCTGGCATCTTTTGTAATATTGCCTTACCCCCATCTATCAGTGTCCAACGATATTACCCGCAGTTCCAAAAGTAAACTTTCTCTATCGACCTGAACTAGATCATCTGCATATTCATTGCGACTAATGAGGTAACGGAAGTTACGTAGTCCGCTGATTTTTTCCCGCTCTGTGCCCAGAATCTATTGGGAAATCATAAGGGCCATAATGCCAAACTTAGAAATACGTTCTTCACTAGTAACCAAAAGATAAATACATACTTTGGGCATACTAGGAGTGTTTTTTATAAATTTATTGTTGACTTTTAAGTTTTAACATTTTTCCATTTTGTGACAAATTATTGTCATCCAATTTTTTTTAAACAATCTTAAAATATCATTTCTGATATTTTGATGTTGACTTATAAACATATTTTTCTCTTACTTTTCGATAAATATGCATTGAATACCTATTGCTGATAACACATTTGGAATTTTACTTGTGCTGTCTTTGCACTTGTCTGGACAAATCACTAATGTCTGGCATGATCATACCAAGTGGTTGGTAGAATTATGTCCTCTTTTCGTCCAATTCGGACCTCCATACACAACTTTTCTCTGTACCGCGATACGATGGAGTTCTCTCCCTTGTCAAACAGAGCGCGATGCCCGGCTTTTACTCGGAGCTACTAATGTAAATAATGAACTTTTATCAGTAAAATATCCATTGTTTGATAACATGAATGATATCTGATACAGAGAACACGAATAAACATAAAGGTTAGTGAGTGCATTTTGTTCCGTTCAGCGTACATGACAAGTACCGCGATACCCCGAGGTTGCAGGCTATATATATATGAGGCCATTTCTGTCTGGGAACATTTCAACAAAAGGCCATTTTCTCCTGCATCCTTTGTTTACAGATATCAGATATGTTAATAGACGGTAACCATCCGACAATTTAGGTACACATGAAATCGGTGAAACATATTTTAGCTGAGGATGGCATAATTCAACAGAATAACTGGCTAAAGTTTGTCATCTTGTGAAAAATTAAACGCTGATTGTTTCTCACCGTGTTTAGGATTGTCCCCATCAATATGGTATGCCGTTCACTTCCATTGGTGAAGAGACATCAGCCCTGACCAAATCTAATGTACACTCCCATACATGAAGTCTCCCAAAACTAAACATACTTTTTCAAAACATTGCCGACATACATTTCCGAAGTATCAAGCAGACGACCTAAACTACAGCTATGACTTCCGGTATGTTAAAATCCGGACGATTCACACATTACCGCTTATGTTATCAACTCATCAGTGAAAAAAATAAAAATTCTTTGATTTTGTTTGCTTGGCCTTGGTTTCACCATGGACCCTAAATATATATACATACATATATATATATATGAAGTATAAAGTGTCCGTAGTCCAACCTGGGAATTTTCCAGCTCGGTCCGGTTGTTCAGAGCCTGGTTAACTCTTAAAATATTAGATTTAACCAAAGACGTATATAGAACCAAACGGTTATGTTGTTTTTGAAAGCATGCATGGTTATGCAGCGATAGAAATTGGCACTAGACCCGAAGTCGTGTCAAACTGCCCAATAGTTAAGGTATCAGGGTTAACGAAATCCTTTTCCCCGAAACTTCTCGAAATAAATAAATTAATGTTTCAGGGGTTGGGGGTGGGGGAGGGGCCCGCCTATGTCTATAGTGATTATCTAATGCTAACTGAATAAAGCATTGCTGTGTGCTGTTGTTAGGGTAGCTGCAGTAGCCGTATCTCTGTGTTCCTCCTTTTAATGGATTTTGATTTTGTCATAACCGCAGCTACGAAGGTGAAAAATCATAGCGAGTAATAGTTAATATACACTACCAACACACGTGCATATTGGTCATTACAAAGATAAATAGACATTTATCATATAATGGATATAATGTCATCCACCAGATAAAATTGGAATCACATTCCAACAAAAATGTAAATGCAGTCATCTTATAAAAAACTAAAAGCTTCACGCACTGATGCAGTGTCTTCTTGATGAAAACGTTCACTTTTGTCTTACATTCCCAATACGTTTCGACAGGTGTTTCTCGATGCGCGCGTGTGTGTAGATCTACACAAAATGGCTTCAAACCATTGGCACTATGTGATAAATGACCAGTTCACTAGCATTTTATTTATATATATAGTTTCTAAAATTACTCCAGTGAGTGAAATTACGTCTTAAACATCGATTATTTTAAGAATGACCTTAAACACGCACAGCGTGATGGATAACAACCTCTGGTGTATTGCATATAGCGACGTTTCGATGTATATTCTTACACCGTTATCAAGCTAGGGTGATGTTATCTGGATTATCAAAAAAAGCGACGTTTCGATGTATATTCTTACACCGTTATCAAGGTAGGGTGATGTAATCTGGATTATCAAAAACAGCGACGTTTCGATGTAGATTCTTACATCGTTATCAAGCTAGGGTGACGTAATCTAGATTATTAAAAACAGCGACGTTTCGATGTATATTCTTACACCGTTATCAAGCTAGGGTGATGTTATCTGGATTATCAAAAAAAGCGACGTTTCGATGTATATTCTTACACCGTTATCAAGCTAGGGTGATGTAATCTGGATTATCAAAAACAGCGACGTTTCGATGTAGATTCTTACACCGTTATCAAGCTAGGGTGACGTAATCTAGATTATTAAAAACAGCGACGTTTCGATGTATATTCTTACACCGTTATCAAGCTAGGGTGATGTAATCTGGATTATCAAAAACAGCGACGTTTCGATGTATATTCTTACACCGTTATCAAGCTAGGGTGATGTAATCTGGATTATCAAAAACAGCGACGTTTCGATGTATATTCTTACATCGTTATCAAGGTAGGGTGATGTAATCTGGATTATCAAAAACAGCGACGTTTCGATGTATATTCTTACATCGTTATCAAGGTAGGGTGATGTAATCTGGATTATCAAAAACAGCGACGTTTCGATGTATATTCTTACATCGTTATCAAGGTAGGGTGATGTAATCTGGATTATCAAAAACAGCGACGTTTCGATGTATATTCTTACATCGTTATCAAGCTAGGGTGATGTAATCTGGATTATCAAAAACAGCGACGTTCCGATGTATATTCTTACGTCGTTATCAAGGTAGGGTGATGCAATCTGGATTATCAAAAACAGCGACGTTTCGATGTATATTCTTACATCGTTATCAAGGTAGGGTGATGTAATCTGGATTATCAAAAACAGCGACGTTTCGATGTATATTCTTACATCGTTATTAAGGTAGGGTGATGTAATCTGGATTATCAAAAACAGCGACGTTTCGATGTTTATTCTTACATCGTTATCAAGGTAGGGTGATGTAATCTGGATTATCAAAAACAGCGACGTTTCGATGTATATTCCTACACCGTACTGTCAAGCTGGAGGCAAAGATTTTTGTACCTGACTCAACAGCCTATAACCAGACGATCTCCAAACACGCATCGACAAAATGGATCTGATAGTCAGGCAATGTTGAAAGCGTGTCTTGGTATCTCGACGGCGGTGCGGATCGTTGCTCACAATATCAATGACTGGGTGTATTGTCTGATCCAGACTCTGTTATTTACACGCCGAAGACAAACAGTTAGCATTGCTGAGGTCGCTGTTAAACAGCGAACAATCAAAACATTGATTTATCACATTTGGATAACTATTGCCAACTGTTGCAAGTTTTTGATACCATCAAATGTTTATTCGTCAGGAATTTATTTCTACATTTTGAACATGTATGACGGAATTCAAGTGATCAGCAAAACAAAGATGACATATTAAATACAAAAAGTACGAAAGAGAAATACGCGTTACCCATTGACAAACGTTCTGACACCGATGCATATTTTTTAGGTACGAAAAGCGGAGTTACCTCCCTTTCATTACAGTTGTCGACATCTCGCGTACAATAAAATTATAAGTGTTATACAGGCGTATAAATAGTCCGGACACGCATTTTGAATCAGACACAGGTGAGAGAATGGTGTGTGCGTGCGTGCGTGCGTGCGTGCGTGCGTGTCTCTGTGTGTGTCTGTGAATGTGTGCAAATAAACCTCGATCCACCGAAGTTATAGTCATCACTCTGTTATGCTGGATTAAGAAAACAGTCAGTGTTTCATTTTTTAATCCCAAATCACTAAACCGTTTTCGTGGAAATAAATATCAATCACTAAAAATATATGCCCCAGTTTCGAGTTATCATGGCTCAGAAGTGAGGATTGCTCTCCACCTGCAGGCAGTGCAGCTGTTTTCACAATCAACCGTTGTCAGCATGCACTTCGTGCAGTCACGTTGCAAGGGTCAATTAACGAGTCGCACTTACGTCTGCACGAGTAGGGATTGTGTCGGACATGTGGCACATGCTCAAACACTTATCCTGTTACGTGTCAACATAATATATGACCCTGCATGATATATGACACGTACGGCTATTGTCATTTTGGTACTTGTTTTAGTGCAAACATATTGCAACAATAATTAAGCCATTTGATTTGGCAAAAGTAGTTGTTTGTTTGTTTGTTGTTGAACGCCGCACTCAGCTATATTCCAGCTATATGACGGCGGTGTGTAAATAATCGAGTCCAGGCCAGACAATCCAGTGATTAATATCATAAGCATCGATGCATTCAATTAGATGGTTGGTTTGTTGCTTTACGCCGCACTCCGCAATATTCCAGCTAAATGACCGCGGTCTGTAAATAATCGAGTCTGGACCAGGCAATCCAGTGATTGATATCATGAGCATCGATCCACGCAATTCAGATCGATGACATGCATCAACCAAGTCAACGAGCCTGACAGCCCGATCCCGTTAGTCGCCTTTTACGACAAGCATGGTATATTACGCACACAATATAGTCACAAAATGCACCCGTCCTTTCGAGAAACTCTGTATCCGCCCATGCCCATGGTGTGGTGTGAAATTCGAAAATGCTGTACTAGATCTGGAAGATACAAGTTACTTGAAATGCTATTATAAGAAAACATTTGTTTCACAAAAATCCCCATGTTCGAATTTTGCCACTATTCTCTCAACAGTGGCTAGGTACCCGGTAGGATGAGATGATAATGTGACTGTAAAAAGGTTCTATACATCCCAGGGAAAATGCTCTATGCGTGCACATCGAGTCTGATTCTGTGTGGGATCTGGCCAAATGTGAGTCAACCTGTGACGGCGGCCTGTAAATAAACCAGGTGTTCTAGTGATTGAAAACATGAGCAACGGTCCCCGCTATGTGAGTACGATCACACGTCCCCGTGGGAATTGGCCCCTGCAACCTATGCTGCTCGTAAGAGGTGTCCAAAGGATCGGATGGTCAAGCTCGGTGACTTGGTTCATGGCATGTCTTGGTGCCCCGACGGTGGCGTTGATCTTTGCTGATAATATTCAGGGGCGGAGTTAAGACTTAACATATGAGTAGGCACCATCATGAATACCGCATATTTATTAAATTATAAATATATTGAATATCGTACTGCTCTTTATTGGCACATTGTGTAACTAAAATGACCAAACAAACAGGCTGTACAATTCATTTTTCATTGTATATTTATTGTTGTGGGCAATTATTTCCTTTTGTAGGAGGTCTTTCTTCAACTTTGTTTGAACACCTGCATCAGAAGGCCTGTAAAGATCCGGGGTAGAATAGGTCTTCAGCAACCCACGCTTGCCGTAAAAGGCATCTATGCTTGTCGTAAGAGGCGACTAACGGGATCGGGTGGTCAGGCTCGATGACTTGGTTGATGCATGTAATCGATCCAATTTCGTGGATTGATGCTCATGTTGTCAATCAAGTCCATACTTGATTATTTACAGACCGCCGTCATATAGCTGGAATATTGCTGAGTGCGGCGTTAAACAACAAACAAACAAACCTGCATCAGAGCATGTTGGTGCGCTGCGCTCTTGGTCCACTGCAGGACAGTGAGTGGGTCAGTTAGGTTTAACGCCGTTTTGAACGCCCAACTTGAGTGAGGATCAGTTACATCCTGAGGTAGAAGACTGTCTTCTTATGATTTATGAGAAGATTTTTTGAAGTCGGAATCAATAGATCTGGCGGCCATGCTGCAGGCAAGAAGTGGATTGCATGAAGTCTGCTCATGAGTACACTGGTATTCAGCCACAAAAAAAGTTTTTATTATATTTCTTCGGGAAAATGTAAGTGTAGGCACGTGCTTATTGTGT